CAGCCCCGGGGTGCACAGTGGCGAAGTGAGCGACCCTCCGGGGCGCAGAGAACCGCGTGGGCAGCGGCGCCCCGAGGGGCTGGTCCTTGGGTCGAGCAGAGATCCCTGCAGCGGGCCTGGATCTGCTCCTGCACCCGCAGGGAGGGCGCCGCGGGAGGAGGGGTCCCAGGCAGGCGCAGGCGGCAGTGGCTGCTGTCCAAAGGGAGGCCGGGTGGCTGCAGCAAAATGCAGCGTCGACACCCGGAGCCGGGACCCTCCCTGGGACAACATCTCTGCTCTGGCCGCCGGGGAGGAACTCCAAAAGGTGTGTCTCACGTGCCGGTCCCCACACCCCTTCCTCCTCTCTCCCGGGGAGGTAGAGTAGCCAGCAGTGCAGGGACAGGGCATGGTGGGCCCCTGGGGCAGCTCCTGGTGCCTGTGCCGCGGGGAGTGGGGTTGGCCTCAGCGTGCCACCTGAGTGGTGATCCTTTCAGTGACGAGCTTGCTAAAGGACACGCGGGCAGGCCACACCTTCGAGTCACAGTCCCGGTTCTGTGGCCAAAAGCTGCACCATCTTCTCAGAGCCTGTCAGTGGCCCAAAATGGTCAGGGAAACTGCACTGTTCCTAAGGTGATTGCATAGCTCAGCCCTACCTCCCACAAGGAGGCAGAAAAACGTTCTTTTTATAAACCTTAAGAGTAGTCCTGGCTGGGCTTGAGCTAACAGCAATCTTCCTGCCTCAGCCTCCCCAGTGCTGGAATTATAGGTGTATGCAGCACCATGCCTGGCCAAGAATATCTTTTCTTTTTCTGTACCTTTTTTTGTTTGTCTTTTTGAGACAGGGTCTCACTATGCAGTTCAGGCTGGCCTTGAGCTCACTTTGTAGCCCAGGCTGGTCTTGAGCTCAAAAACAATCCACCTGCCCCAGCCTCAAGAGTGCTGGTTTTACAGGCGTGCGCCACCATGCCCGGCTCCAAGATTACCTTTTCTAAAAATTGATTTTATTGGTACATTTTTAGATACACATAATGATCACATTAATCATAGGGAATTTGTGTGTGTACATGATATATCTTGATTCTTTTTTTCTCATTCCCCTCCCCTCCCTTCAACCCCTCTTCCCCTCCTTAAGAATAGTTGAACTTATATTTAGCAATTGATGACTGAAGATGTTAGGAACATTTATAAGCATTAATCCCATTTATATGTATTTACTCAACATCTGAAGGCCTGAAATCTCAACTGGGAGGTCCATTTCCACGTGCCCTGGCACTGATAGTTCTGTTCTCCCTGGGCTGTTGGACTGAGAGCCCACCTGTTCTCATTGACTGCAGGCCAGCGCCCTCCTTACCTCCCGGCCATGTGCCCCCCCCCAATGCCAGCCCCTTCCCCAAGGAGTGCGAGCCAAGAACACAACAGCACCAGCAAGGCCAGGTGTGGTGACTCACGCCTGTAATCCCAGCACTCAGGAGGCTGAGGCAGGAGGATCATTGTGAGTTCAAGGCCAGCCTGGGCCACAAAGTGAGCTCAAGGCCAGCCTGAACTGCATAAGGAGACCCTGTCTCAAAAAAACCAAAACAAAACAGCACCAGCAAGACTGCAGGCGCAACCTTCCTGGAACCTCAGCATGGGGGGTCATCCCACCCTAGACCCTACTCTGGTTAGAATGCAGCCAGCAGGGACACCCACCCACAAGAACTCCACACTTGGTCCTGGTCTATTTTTTTGTTTTGCTTTGTTTTTTTGTTTGTTTGAGACAGGGTCTCCCTATGAAGTTCAAACTGGTCTTGAGCTCACTTTGTAGCCCAGGCTGGTCTCGAACTCCCAACGATCCTCCTGCCTCAGCCTCCTGACCTGGTCTATTATATATATAGTGAAACCCATCTCAAAAAGGCCAAAAACTTAAAACTCAGATTTCTCATTAACAAATCAGGGAGGAGTCTATATATTACGCTCCACCTGTTATACTTAAACATCTCAAAACATGCAGGTTAATATTAAAGATAATTCATCATTCATCATTGGCTCTTGCTTGTTTAACCTGGTTGTAATGCTTGCATCTTCCAGACTTCTCCGGCTCCTAGTTTAGCAGGGGCTCCGCTGTGCTGTTGTTAAAACAATGTTGCATATATATTTCTGACAACCCTGCAGATGTGTCTTCTGCATTACAAAACCTACATTCACAGGTTAATGCAGTGCCAGTTTCTCCCTAAGCCTCCAGGACAGACTGGTAACAAAAGCGACCTGCCTATATCTCCCTGAGGTCAGTCAGGATGAGACTTTCGGTTCCTGGCTCAGTAAGGTCAGCCTCACTTCAGCACGATGCAGTTAAAGAAAAGAGTATTTGGGCTGCAGAGGAGCTGCAGAGTCAGGTATCCGAATCTGGGTGTAGGGAGATAAGGCAGGATAGAAAAAATAAAGGTGGAAAGGAGACAAAGAAATTGTAACTTTAAAAATGAAAACTGCAACTTCAGTTTGTAAAAGTTTTTTTCTCCCAGAACACAATAAACCTGGACCACCCCTAAACCCCCCATGGATACGCCCAGCTGCAGGTCATAAGCTACCTCTTTCCTGAGGGCCTGCACTCTTATTTCTTTGAGTGTGTACTTTAAAAATTACACCTAGCTAGGCATGGTGGTGCCTGCCTGTAATCCCAGCACTCGGGATTATGGGATTGCAATCCTCCTAAAGCAGGAGGCTTGCTGGGAGTTCAAGGCCAGCCGTAACTACATAGTGAGACTCTGTCTCACAAAAGCAAAAACAAAGAATTATGCCTAATAAATCCCTTCATGCATCTTACCGATGCCTCCTGAAGACTCTTTTCTGCAGTGAAGTCAGTGAGCCTCCAGCCTGCCCCGTGGGTGGCGGTGTTCCAGAACCCCAGCTTGGGGGAGCAGGGCACGTGGAGATAGGAAGAGTTCTGATTCCTAGCTCTTTAATTGGTACCCCCTTTGAAGTCATGTCCCTGGACTAAGAAATTAGTTACCATTTAGTCATCAGGAAACCATGAGAAATGAACTGTATTCCTAAAATATTTCCAATTTTTTTTTTGTCTTTTTCAGACAGCGTTTTACCATGCAGTTCAGGCTGGCCTTGAATTCACTTTGTAGCCCAGATTGGCCTTGAACTTGCAAGGATCCTCCTGCCTCAGCCTCCCAAGTGCTGGGATTGCAGGCGTGCACCACCACGGCTCTGATTCTCTCTTTAGTCTGATGTTTAAGAAAAAGAGCAGTGGGAATGAAGAGGCAATTGCAAGATTTTTTTTTAATCTAAGAACAAACTAAGCACATATCAAGGAGAAAAAGGCCCTCTCCCTAGTGGGCCTAAAACTCCTACCGACTGGAATAAACTCAGGAAAACGTGTGCCCGGGTTGGACACACAGGACAAGGGAACCTGAGCAGCAGAACACGAAGTGGAGCACAGTTTCACAGTGTTTCTTCCTTTTTTTTTTTTTTTCTGTTCCTTTTTCCTTGGTCTACTCTTTCCTCCTTGGGAAATCCCAATAGTACAAATCTCTTTCACCCAGAGACCTGTTTCTCGACAAAAATCATGCGAGTCACACATTTCTGCCTGTTGAACACCATACTGTTTTTTCTCCACTTGTTGAACACCCAACTGGCTTTTCTTCACTTTGTCGTGTCCTTCCCGCTGGCACGGCGGTTCCGTCTTCTTTTGTTTTGCAGGGCCGAAAGTGAAAATACAGCGCTGCTGTGTTTATGCCCAGCACAAGGAAGATGACACCAAGGAGGAAGATGGTAGAGCTGCTTTGTTCACGGCGTCCTGGCCGAAACAGAGAAGACGGAGAAATTGGGGCTGGGAGGGTTGAAGACAAGAGGATCACCCCACCTCAGCCCACCAAGCCCGGTTCTCAGTCTCCCCTTCCCCAGCCCAGGAAAACCTTTCTTTCCAGGATTTTATCAAACCCCTGGTGGCTTTCTATCCCAAGCCCAGCAACAGGACAGCCGCAGTCACCTTGAACAATAACAGCAATGTCTTTGCGGACAGAGCCCAGCCGGTTAGTGGCTGTGCAGCGATAGATTCCAGTGTGGTTCTGGGTGGCCTTTTGCGGCACTTCGAGGTCAATGCTAATCCCATTCCAGATGCACACTAACGTTGGAGCCGGGTTTCCCTCTGGGACGCAAGCAAGCATCTGCTCCTTTCCTTCTACCCATGTCTGATTGCGAGGGCAACCAGATTCTTCTAACCTTGGCTTGTCTGCAAAAAAAGCACACCCCAAAGAAGCCAGCTCATTGTGTGCCCTGCCCTCTCCCGACCTCCCTGCTCAGCCCCCTCTCCTTCCAGACCCCAAATGCTACTTCCCTAACACATTTCTGTTTGTTTTCTGTTTTTGTTTTTGTTTTTGGTACCGGGACCCAAACTCAGGACCTTGTGCTTGCCAGGCAGGCACTGTGTTGCTGAGCTCCACCCCCGACCCACAAATTTCTTTCCAGGGGAAAGACTATCAGTTTCTTGCTCTAAAGCAACTCCCCTTTCTTCTATTCGGGCAGGAGTCTGAGACGAAACCTGGGGCATTTTTATGCATTGGGACTAAATGGTAAAACACTGCTGACGGTGGGGCCCTCGAGGCCCCGCTTCCTGTCTTAGCCTCTCAGTGGGAAAGGAGCTGGGAAGGGGCAAACTCAGAAATGAGGATTTTTCCCACATTTCAAAATATAAATTTTGATATGGAATTTTTGGGCATTTCCCTCCTTGGTGTCAGCTCCGCTATCCCTTTTTACGCTGCCTTCAGCCGTGCGCCCTCCACCAATGCTGTCTGGCTGCCGTAGCCACTGTCCTTTCTAGCCTGTTTCCCTCAGCTTCCTCTTCACTCACTTTCCCGGGGCAAAGCAAGCGTGGAGAGCTCCATTTGATTTTCTCCTGTGATTTTACTGCTGTTACTGCTGAAAAAAATGTGGCAACTCTAATAACGAAACTACTGGCCAGGATCTCTGGAAATAGAAAGATAATCCTTTTCACAAGGAAGATCAGGCCGCTACTCACACAAAACATGGAGCTGAAGCACAGCAGTTTTAACCAGTCGTTGACCTTGCACTTCTAAAGAGGCCTCACAGGAGAAATTTCGGCCGTCATCATCCTCTTTGGCAGTAAACAGAAGCCGGGCAGGTTCCCCAGGGGCAGGGAGATCTGGGGCCCCTTGAAGCCGAAGAGTAGGAGTAGGTGACGTTAATATATGCCCCGAGCAGGTGACATTAACATCTGTCCCTGCCAGAGGGTATGATTCTTCTATCTGTAGGACTGGTGGAGGGAAACCTATTAAAAAAAAAAGAAGGAAAGAAAACCAGACACATTTTTCAAAGGCGGCAGCAACTTCTATACTCTTGCTGCTGGCGTTCTCCCTTGGGTAGGCAGACAAAACAGAAAGGACTCTGATACCCATACTGCTTCCGCAAAGCCCGAAGGGAAGGGACAATGAAGCGGTTTGGGAATCTGAGCGCTTCTATTTCAACAAATGCAGCGTGCACACATCTGCTATGCCTCTGCTACAGGAAAGCAGGGTATCTCCTCCTTGCAGCATGGCTTTAGCACACGGGGTGAAAATCAGCGAGAACTGCTGCTGTAACACAGCCTGCCTGCACTTACCAGAAGAAGAGGGAACGTGTGCCTGGACAGGTCACCAGCCCATGACGTGTAAGTTTTCAACAGCAGAGAACCCACGCGGGGAGGGAAAAGGCAGCTCACTTACTGTAGACGTGCACTGGCCGCCTTGTTTCCTGTTCCACTGGACCCAGAGAAACGAAGCATGACAGCTCCTGGGCACCAGTCTCCGTGGCCCGAACAGTGGCGTTGGCCCACGCCGTGTCTCCCTTCCAGGAGAGGAAGGGGTGCAGCTCCTGGTCTCCCAGGAACATGTGGAATACAGCTTCTTTGGCTGGAAACACCCTCGCCACCTCACAGCTCACAGGCTCTGTCGTCCCAACTTCCAGAACCAAAGAGACCCAGATCAGGGGTCTCTGAACGAATTCTGCCAAGAAATTAGGAAAAGGAAAATAAAAAGGAGAAAAGCCATGCTAAATTGTGTCATGTAGGGAGGGAACGGTGCTAAATGGTTTTTCTTTTTCACAATGAGTTAAAATAGAACTAGAGTCTCATTACCCTCATAACCTCACCCTACACCCCATGGGAACGTGGTCCCAAAGGCCACGGCAAAATGAACAAAATGAGCCCCAGGATTCCTTCCCTGCTTGGACTCTTGACTCACCAAAGATCCGGAGTACCTTGATGGCTGAGCTGCCGCGAAAGAGCCCTCCACCTTGTGAATTCAAATCTAGCTCTGCACTGCAGGAGAAATTGCACCTGTCATTCTCCCTGTGGGCCGTGATACTGATGGTAACCTCAGCGTTTTGAGAGGCCAAAGCCAAGCTCACAAAGTTCTTTCTATACAGCTCTTGGTTACCCTGGAAAAGGGTAAGTGTGAGGTGCTCTAGCGGTGCCACACGGGGCACGAGGCACCTCACTGTAAAGGCTTCATCCATGGCTACCCAGTCCGGCTGCAGCTCCAGGATCACCTGCTCGGGCGGCTCTTTAAGACAAAAGGCAGGGCTTGATGACAGAGGGCTACTCACCTCTCCAGGAAGGTGACCGCTACCCACGAGCCATCTTCCTGCCAGCCTTTTGCCTCTTCTGCCCAGCAAAGGTGGTGAGGGCCATAGTCAGGAAATGTGACAGTCGAGGGAGGTCCTTTGTTTTAACTGTTGCTGCCATTCTGGAGAATTCTATTTTCTATCAGAGGTGCTTCAGAGGCATGACCAGGCTCCTCAGCACCACACAAAACCTCCATCTGGAGACCTCTGCCCACGCAGATCCCACTGACTCTTTTTTTTGGGGGGGTTGGAGGGGGGGTTCTTTTTTCCAGTACCAGGAATCGAACTCATGACCTTGTGCTTGCCAGGTAGGCGCTGTGCTGCTGAGCTAAATCCCCAGCCCCCTGACTCTTAACGGCTATAACTTTGCCAACGCTAATTTCCCCCTGAAAGATCCTCCTCACCGGCACCGACAATTCAAAGCCGATCCATTCTGCAGAAGGGCAGCTCAGGAGCCTTCTTTTTCATAGACTTTGCTAATTATCCCAGTTTGAAAAGACTCTCCTTTGTCCAGTCCCTATTCATGCTAAGACCTCGGAGCAAATAAGTCAGCAGTAGTTTTAACTTTTTTTTCTTTTTTTTGACAAGTTAGAAGTTAACACTATTAGCATCTGCGTCCTGTATTCGAGAATATTCTCAAGCAGAGATGTCCGGGTACCCTCTGCAGTCTACTAACAATATAAACCCCAGAAAGGAACGGAAGGAACTGGCTCTGGAATCCCAGATAGTAGGACAAAATCTTTATTAAGAGCCCCAGGTCTCTCCCCTAAGAGAAATCCCTAATTCTTCCCTAAATAAATATGGGCATAATCCTGTCTCCCGCCCCTCCCATCTCCCCAGCCCTCCGGCCCACTCACGATACACAGTGACGTCAAGGCTTGTGTCCTTTTGGACCCCCGAACAAGAAAAGAAGCACTGCAGGACACAGTTCTCGGTGACATCCTCCAGGAGAAATGCCTTCCACTGGCGCCCTTTGTCCACCTGGGTTTTCTTTAAGAAGGTGTCGATGCCACTGGGCCCGGGGTCCGGGCAGGTGGTGCTGCAGTTGACCACCAGAGACTGTCCAAAGCCCACGAGGGCCTGACTGGGCCAGACAGAAACCTCAAATAGCTCCTCTGTGGCCCCTGGAAGGAACACAGGTGCCAGAGACCCTGGTGAGGACCACGAGACCCAGACAAAATACAGAGTCCGTTCTACGTAATTCTAGCTGAGAGACTAGGGGAAGGTTCAGGGAACTGGGAAAGAGAAGACCCTTAGGAAACCAGTGAGAACCCCGATTCTACCACTGTTCCTTCCATCCACCTTCTCCCTTCAGATCTGAATCAATGTTGTTAAAATCATGCCCAGGAAACCCCTCTCCTCGTAACCTCTCAGAATTCCTGGCAAGTCCTCAGGTTTGGCTACTGGGGACACACATAGGATCAGCAGACCCCTGAGCCAAAAAGCTTTACTTCTGCCTTGAAGCAGTGTTGCCTCTCAAATTATAGCTAAGGACTGCCTCCATGAGAATCACCTGGAATGTTTATAAAACTGCAGATTCCAACTCCATCTCAGACTGGGTAGCTACAAATTTGTAAAGATGGGGCCTGGAAACACGGCAGAGCACACAACAAGCCTTCTGGGGACTTTCCTACAGCCCTGACCCCCCATAACCACTGGCTGTGATTACTCATTTCCCGTGGAATTTTCCGCTTCTTCCACTTTGCTCCAATGCTGAGATGCCTGTAAGTTTAGTCTGTGTTATGCTTTGAGTCTTAAACGCCACCCAGAGGCCTGTATGTGAAGAGGGCTTGGTCCACAGCCTGTGGCTATACTGAGAGGGGTAGAACCTTTAGGAGTTAGGGGTTGGGGAAAGCAATTAGCTCACTGGGAGCATGCTATAGGGGATACTGGGACGCCATCCCCACTCTTCCTGCCTCTTCTGGTCACCATGAAGTAAGGAGATTTGCGCTATCACAACTCCTGTCCCGACGTTCTGCCTCACCACAGCCCCTCAAACAATGTAGAAACCATGGACTAAAGCATCCAAAACCACGAGCCCGAGGAACCCTCTCCCCTTTTAAGTTGCTTTCCCTAGGTATTTTGTCCCAGCGGGCCAAAGCTAACCCCGTCCTTTAGAGAAATCTCATGTTCTATAGGAGACATCAAATAGGTTTTAGACACCTGATGTAGGTGAACTGCACAGTCTCCTGAAGTCTTACCTACAGGTCTCCTGCAGCCAGCCCACGTCCACCAAGCCCTGCATCTACCAAGCGCAAGTCCCCTCGGGGAATGTACAACTCTCACTGCAGTGTTACCGGCTGAGGCTTTGGAGTCCTTTCCTTGCCACTGGAAACGCATTCCCTGCACCTGAGCTACCGGCCCTGCTCTAGCTCCCACTGTGGCTCATCATGTGACAAAAAGTGGTAACAAAGTAAAAATATTCTTGAGAAGAAAAAAGAGGAGACAGCTTCCGGACACCAGAGAGCCAAGAGGAAAAGGCATATTTTCTAAGGAGAGTTGTCGCTGAGGATTTATTAATTTGGGTTCTCCCAGTTATAAGCCAAAGGCATCTAAGGGTTCTGTGTCCTGTGAACCAATATATAGAAATCTCTCCCCAAGGGTCTGGATGAACTAATACCAGTGTCACCCTCCTCAGGAGTTCCCATCCCTGTCTTCCCCGACCCACCGCCTGTGTTCCAGCACATATTAAAGAAACTTTCCTGAATAGCCTCACCTGGGCAAGAAGTCAAGGCCAGCAGGGCCCAGACACCAAACAGAAGCACTGCCATTCTTCAGAGAAAGGCCGAAAGCTGGAGAAAAAAGAAATCAACAGTCGTGTTGGAGAAAGTGGCGGGGGGAAAGGACGTAGAAAAGTCTTTCCTTGTATTGTTAGGTCAGCCCCTTTCCTAACACCTTATTAGTCTGGAGAAACTGCAGCAAGAACATCAGCGGGGTGGGTCGGCAGGGTGGGTGCGCTAAAAGTACTTCTTGCCGCTACTCATCTAAGTTTGGCTATGCATACAAGAAAAAGACCGGGCACATACGAAAAACAACGAAGGGATGTTTGAGTAGTAAGAGTCCTAAATGAGTCTATATTGTACCTGTCCTTTTATTAGATAACATCCCTCTATTAGATTGAACCAACAGAAGGGTGTCAGCGTGGGAATGTGAAAAATGGGCTTTAGCGAGATAACATTTGGCAGTATTCACCTGACACTGTGCAGCGGAAAGTGAATCTAGAGAACATGGTCACTAAAGTTCTGTTCTCTGAGGTAAGGCAGAAATGTTTAATCAGGCCTCTCTCTTCAGGACCACTGGAAATAACCCTCAGAACAATTCGTTTCTTTCTAATATGCCTCCATATTCACCAAGCAAACCTTGGATTACTACTTTGTTTTGTTTTGGTTGTTTTGGGTACCAGGACTTGAATTCAGGACTTTGTGCTTGCCAGGCAGCTGCTCTGGCTGACTTAAAAGCATCTACTTTTCTGTTCACCACCAATCTACTCCTTGCTTCCTTTCAAAGGCCTATTAAAGCTGGGAACGACAATGCACACCTATAATCCCAGCACTCCAGCAGGCTGAGGCAGGAGGATCGCAAATTTAAGTCCAGCCTGTGCAACTCAGTGATATCCTGTCTCAAAATTAATAATTTTTAAAAAGATCTGGGAATGTAGTTCAGTGTGAAGGCCCTGGATTCAATTCCCACTGCTGAAAAAAAAGGGGGAAAAAACATTCAAGGTAATTTCTTCTACGAAAATTTTCTTTTTTGTTGTGATGTTGCTAAGCATTAAACTTTACTCTCTAATTTTGTACATGAATTTTCTTTCTTTTTTTTTTTTTTTTTTTTGGTACCAGGACTCAAACTCTGGACCTTGTGCTTGCCAGGCAGGCGCTTATACCACTGAGCTATATCCCCGGCCCTGTACATGAATTTTCAAACACTGGGTCTTGTGCAGGTCTATCCTACTTCTGTGCTAGTCTGGAAAGTTTTTGGTCCTTTTTATACATGCATAAGATAATAGGATTATCAAGATTTATACTTCTAAGTGAATGTTACATTTCAAAATAAGCACTTTAAGTGGCTTTGACCTTATTCTAGAGATGACCATTATGCACAACTTCTTTGGAAGTTATTTAAAACTGGTTTTCAAGCTATGTAAGAAAGAAAACTGTCTTTATAAAATTTTCTTTCTTTTGTATGGGGTGCGGTACTGGAGAATGAGCCCAGGGCCTCACACGTCAGGCAAGTATTCTACCACTAAACTGCATCCCAAGTTCTTCTTTTTCTTTTTTCTTTTTTTTCTTTCTTTTTGCGACAGGGTCTCACTAGGTTGCCCAGGCTGGATTTGAACTTGCAAGTTTCCTGAATCAGCCTCCCAACTAGACGGGATTACAAGCATTCACTGCCATGCCTAGCTAAATTATCCTATTACTCTCTGAACAAAAGTATTATTCAGTCACCTTATTTGCCAAATTTAGCTCTGAGTCACATCCCTTTCCTAGGAAATCTGTTATCATTGCAAATATTTAACATACCCAGACTCTGAAGGAAATTTCAAACCAGGAGTGTTAACTAACAACTCTTGGAAAAAGTACAGAAGCCCAAAGTGGGACTGCTTCCATTCGTGCATTCTTTCTGCAGTGTTTTTTTTTGCAAACGATTATTGTGCGGCTACAATGTGACAAACTTTCTGAAAGGTGTAGAAGGTGGCTTTGTGCTGTGATATATGAATCCTGGAAATTCTATGGGGAAAAAAAGAAAATAATACTCTGTGATAAGTGTTAAAATGGGGGAAGGGGAAGATAAGTGAGGGTTAAATGAGTTCATTCCAAGTCATGTATATCAATAAAATAACAATGTTCTAAATGTTTTTTTCAAGCACTACGTAAGATTTAGAAAATATCACTTGTTCATATCTACTATTGCTACTACTACTATTATTATTATTATTATTATTATTATTATTATTATTTTGTCTTTTTGAAACAGGGTCTCACTGTGCAAGGCTGGTCTTGAGCTCACTTTGTAACCCAGGCTGGCCTCAAACTCACAACTATTCCCTGCCTCAGCCTCCTGAGAGCTGGGGTTACAGGTGTATGCCACCATGCCCAGCATTAATATTATTTTGGAAGTGGCATGAAAGGGCAAAAGAAAATGGCTTTCCTACTACCAAAGTATATATTTAACATTCATTTAGCTGGTGTGTGTGTGTGTGTGTGTGTGTGTGTGTGTGTGTGTTTATAGGGGACTGTCTTGTGGAGCATTTTTTGGTTTTGGTGTGGTTTTCTTGATGCTGGGGATTGAACCTAGGTATGTGTGCATGCTAGGCAAGCACTCTGCCGCTGAGCTATATCCCCAGTCTATGCTGTATAATATTTTTAAAATATTAATCATGTAAATTTGCACATTATACAATGCAAATTAACTTGAAACCTATTCAGTAACCCTTTCTCAATCTTATCTTACCTAATAATTTTGCAATGGCAAGTAGAAACACTAAAACAACACGCAGGCATATTTATTTATATCAATGGGCACTGATCAGAATCTCTTCCAAGATATCAGGACCCAATCTCTGGTGGTCTGGGGCTTTTATACAATGCCCAAGCAGGAGGTACAAAGAAGGTAGTTCTTTTTGTTTTTGTCCCCCAACCCCCGCCCCGGTACCGGGAGTCAAACTCACGACCTTGCACTTGCCAGGCAGGCGCTGTGCCGCTGAGCTGAATCCCCAGCCCCAAAACAAGGTAGTTCTGATTAGCTAGCAGGGTGAGATCATCAGCTACAAGGGTAGATTAGTGATCATCAGTTTATGAAGGTTGGTACAATGGTACAATCAGGCATCCTGCGTGTTTGATTACATTCTCATAGTTACAGGGATAAGAAAGTAATTACAAAGTCATGAAGGAGTTACAGAGCTAGGCAGTTTCAAAAGAACAAAGTTTTAAAAGAATAGTTTTTCTTGTACAGTCTTTCCCTTTCAATTTCTAACATTTAGTAAACATACTGTATTCTAGAAGATGAACTATATGCCTTACTTTCACTATCTCATACTAATCCTATGATTATCCTTAATTTTACAGATGAGAAGATAGAGCCTAAGAGAGATAAACTAACTTGCCTCTGACCATACAACTAAAAGACAAAGACAAGGCCTGGTGTGATGGTACATGCTTGTAATCCTAGAACTCTGGGAAGCAAAGGCAGGAGGATAATTTCCAGCTCTGGGCAGTTTAGTGACTCTCAAAATTTAAAAAGGAAAAAATTTTTTAAAGGACAGAGAAACACCAGGCATGGTGGCACACAGGCCGGTAATCCCAGCACTCAGGAGGCTGAGGTAGGAGGATCATTGCAAGTTCAAGCACAGCCTAGGTGGAAAAGTAAGCTCAAGGCCAGCCTGAACTGCATAGTGAGACGCTGTCTCAGAAAGATAAATAAATAAATAAATAAATAAATAAAATAAAGGGCAGGGAAGACCCGGGCATGGTGGCCCATGCCTGTGATCCCAGCATTTGGGAGGCTGAGGCAGGAGGATCCTTCTGAGCTCAAGGCCAGCCTCAGCTACAAAGTCAGTTCAAGGCCAGCCTGAAGTGCATAGTGAAACCCTGTCTCAAAAAGACAAAACAAATAAATAAATAAATAAATAAATAAATAAATAAAATAAAGGGCAGGGGATGTAGCTTAGTGTGAAGGTCCTGTTCAATCCTCAGTACTGGGGGGAAAAAGAGGTGAAGCCATGATGCAAACCTACGCATTTATCATTTTTTTTCTGAAACTCTGAGACTCCCTGGCCTCAAACTCGCTATGCAGCACAGGTTGCCATTGAATTCATGGTGATCCTCCTGCTTCAGCCTCCCAAGTGTGCAAACCTAGGCATTCTGACCACAGAATGTCCTTCACTGCTGCTGCACTCTCCATGAATCCAGACTACTTATACTACGATGGGCCACACGGGCGCAGACAACTCCCCAGAGGTTAATCTGAGACCTCTTATTAATCTCTCTTTGCTTGCTGATATTACCTTCAACAAACTTGACCTTGGTGTGAATTTATCTTATGTCTGCGTTGTCTATCTTTTACTCTCAGTCTTAGCTGAAACCAAGATTTCCCATCTCTGATCACTATAAACCAAGGGGTTGGTTTTTCCTTGTAGTTGCTATGAGTACATACCCATGCCCGCAATAGGTGTAAGACCTTAGGCGGCGGCAGCGGGTGGGGTGGGTGGAAGTTCTTTCTGTTTACATACTATATACTGACACCCTGCCCCACACCTATCCGCTATCCCCATAGCCCTCACCTTCCGCCCTTGCAGTGGCAGGTTATGATAGGATTCTGAAACCTGAAATTTTACTTTCTGTTAAGGACAAAGAAAGTAGCATCCAGTCATTGGTGTCTCTCTTGTGCGAAGAACTCGCCTGTCGCCTGGATGCCGGACCCAAGGCCAACTCTTGCCAGGGAAGCTGCTTCCGTCTAGCTGGGAGAGGCGGGTATACACACGCGGTGACGAGGGCTTTTAAAGGAGGACGCTATTTAAAACATAAAAATAAGGGCCGTGGATACAGCTCAGCGGCAGAGTCTGTCTGGCAAGCGCAAAGCCCTTGAGTTCGATTCCTAAAAGTATGTAGCGCCCGGCATGCTGGCGCACGCTTATAATCCCAGCACGTGGGAGGATGAGGCAGGAGGATTCCCGAGTTCACGGTCAGCCTGGGCTACATAGGAAGACCCTGTCTTAAAAAAAAAAAAAAAAAGTGTAAAAACTCTAGCCAGTGCCCCTCTGGGTTTCCAGTTCGCTCAGATTTGACGGGAAAGCCAGGCTAGAAATCGCCACGAACCCAAGCAAACCAAACAGACCCTAAATTCTCACTGAGCAAGAGCTGCCTGCCTGTCCCTCCTCGCCGGGCCGCTCCTCGTGTCTCTCGACAGCACGCCAGCCGACTCCGCCTAGTCCGCAACCTTCCAGCGGTTCTCCCGCGCCCGCCACGTGCTCTGACCGTTTGGCCTGCGCCGCCAGGCGGGGGCGCTCCCGCTAGGAGAGTCTTCCTTATCTTCCTAGAAACTCATGACGTCTCGGCAACATCTCAGCAGGGTTGGCTGTGACTAGCGGGGCGAGCAGAAAGGTAAAATAACAGCCGGGTTAAGCGGGGAAATTAAACGTAGGAGAGCCTGTGTTCTACGTGACAGAGAGAGAGTATTTGACTCAAGGTAATCATTACTAATTAAGACAAAGTAAAAATAAAAATAAAATGGTTTCTTTTGCAGGGAATAATGGCTCTAGAAAGAAAATAAGAAGTTGTCCTCCCCTACATATTTTTGTCTCGTGGTTCTGCCTGAATGCCATGACGTGGGGCGGGGCGCAGGCGCTGTGCGCGCAGCCGCGTTCTCACCCTGGGCAGAGAGTGTTGTAAGGGTTGTGAGGCTGGTTGTTTTTTTCCTCCCCCGTCTGTCAAATTCCTCCCGGACCCGACGTGTGGATGCAGGCCTGTAATCTCAGTACTTTGGGAGGCTGAGGCACGAGGATTGCAAGTTGGAGCCCAGGCTGGACAATGTAGCAACTTACCGAGACCTGGTCCCCAAATATAAAAAGAGCTGAAGATGTAAACTCAGTGTGCAGCCCCGGGACAGGACATTGATTTGGCCGGGCTCTGGCAGTGCTTGGAAAGAGTCCCTTTTGTGCGTCCCTACACGCACCCGGCCTCTGTACCCCGCACTGCGCGCCAGTATTGGCTTTTTTGTTGTGGTTTGTTTTTGTTTTTTTTCCCTCCGGTACCGGGAATTGAACTCACGACCTTGCGCTTGCCAGGCAGGCGCTGTGCCGCTGAGCTAAATCCCCAGTCCCAACGCCAGTATTGGTTTGGACCAGCCTTCCCTTCCTCGCTTTCCCGCCAGCCGTTCCCGCGCTCCTGCTCACCCGCACCCTGCCCCGGAGTTCGGGCTGAGCCTCGGTGCAGTGACATTTGAATATCTGCCACGCTTCCTCTGCCCCTCTCCCTCGCAAGAGGTGTGTATCCTCTTGTGTGTATCCACTGTCTCATTTACCATAACTCCCCTGGGGGAGGCGCCACTGCTATTCCCTTTTATGGATAAGAGGACAGACCTGAAGAGGCTTTACTATTGTGTACATGGGGATGTCGGGCAGACTTATTAATGGTATTGGCCGTCTTGGTGTCCAGTGCAAGTTCTTTTTTTGTTGGTTTTTTTTTTTTTTTTTTTTTCCGGTACCGGGAATCGAACTCACGAACTTGTGCTTGCCAGGCAGGCGCTGTGCCACTGAGCTAAATTCCCAGCCCCTAGTGTAAGTTCTAAACACTGTATTTCTTGCCCTGCAATGACCGCCTCTAGGCTATGAATGATGCTTTTTCTTTCAATTCTCCCCTTCTATGGGGAACTCATTATGTTGCCCAAGTTAACTCCAAATTCCTGGCCTTTAAGAGACCCTCCTGACTCAGCTTCCTGAGAGCTGGAGCTACAGGCCCTTGTCACCACGACCCACCTGAGTGGTTATCCTTAGGCTATCTTTGTTGGTTGGCTTTCTTGTGTGGTGGTTTTATCATTGCTTTGACTCTGTTTATACTGACAATTTGAGGAGAAAAGTTAGGGTAAGTATCCAGTAGTGCTCTGGCCATACTCAAGCTAGCCCTTCTCTTCAAAACTGTGTATGTAATGATGTCACACTGGCCACATGAAAACAGCCCCAATGGGAGGTGTTTATATCACTGAAATTGTCAAAGATTACAAATCAAGGTTTTGTTTCCTTTTGAGAATTGACTGTGAAGCATGTACTAGAACGCCAATGTATATGTCTATTTATTCATTGTTTCCTTTCTATACTATGTGCTTTCTTGTTTGTTGTTGTGTCCTCAGCATCTAGAACAGGGCCTACAGAGCATGCACTGACATATTTAGGAATTGAATGACCAGAGCCTGTGACCGAACACCTTGGTTTTCTTTGTGGAAGGGCAACTCATGACTCTTTTAAAGATCTTAGCTTTGTGACGCCAACCTCCCATCAACTCTTCTGTGCTAATTCTGCCTCTCCCTTATCCAAGTGTAGTCAAAATGACAATTTGGGTTTGTCCAGAGACCACCACCTCTTCTGGCCAAGAAGGCTGCCTGTGCTCTGCCCTAGTGTCCCCTGTCAGAGGAGAATAGAGCAAGAAAGCTTGTCAGAGACAGCCCTCCGCTCATGCCAGCCTCGGACTGCTCTGGAGGGCAGTGAGGAGAAAGCTTGTTACCAGTTCTCCAGAAAAGGTGGATCTTCGCTTACCTCTTCATAGTTTCCAGTAACTACCATTGCAGAAGTTGTTCTTGACAGGTTTTGGAGATTTCTGAAAATTTTTAATTTGCAAGTTTTTATTTTCTCTTCAAGGCAATATTTTAAGAATTATTCATATATGTCACAATGTGTTGTTTACATTTTAAATGTGGGCAGTTGACTGTTGGTCTATCTCAATACAGCTGGGTTTTTTTTGTTTTTTTGTTTTGTTTTGTTTTTGGTTTGGTTGGTTTTTTGAGACACGGTCTCACTATGTAGTTCAGGCTGGCCTTGAACTCACTATGTAGCCCAGGCTAGCCTCAAAATCATGGTGGTCCTCCTGCCTCAGCCTCCCGAGTGCTGAGATTATAGGCATGCACCACCACACCTGGCTATCTATCACATCTAAGCCTAGTTCATAAGATATTTTATAGTAATCCCTTCAAGCAATTCCCATTTCTCATTTGTGGCTTTGAATGGTTTTATTTATTTATTTGTTTGTTTGTTTTGCTTTGTTTTGTTTTGTTTTGTTTTGTTTTCCGGTACCGGGAATTGAACTCATGATGTTGCGCTTGCAAGGCAGGCGCTGTGCCACTGAGCTAAATCCCCAGGCCCTTATTTATAATAAACATCTTTTCAAATTGCCACAAATTTAATTTTAATTTTTGTTGTGTTTTGTTTTTGAGACAGAGTCCCACTACAAAGTTCAGACTGACCTTGAACTCACTATGTAGCCCAGACTGGCCTTGAACTCATAGCAGTCCTCTTGCCTCAGCACCCTGAGTGCTGGGATTATAAGTATGTGCCACCATGCCTGGCTTTTCTTTTCTTTTTTCTTTTTTTGTGGTGCTAGGGATGAAATCTAGGAACTCTCAGCTGCTAGGCAAGAGTTCTGCCCCTGGGCTATACCCACAGCCACTTAAAATGTCATTTTTAAATTTTGTCAGATACACTATTTTTATTTTTTCTGATTCCTCAGTGGCATATCAGCCATAGCTTTCATTTTTTAATGAAAAAGTTAAACTTCAAGACCTTTAAGACTATTAAAATAACCTCACCTAATAGAAATAGCTGTCTCATGTTTTCAAAAAAATAGTTTTTAGGTGGTTGCAGTAACATATGCCTGTAATCGCAGCTACTCAGGAGGCTGTGCTGGGAGCCTGGCTGTGAGGCCAGCCTGAACAAGGCTGGTCCAGCAAGGCCCTGTCTCAAAATTTTAAAAAAATTTTAAAGAAGTTTGGGGATTTAGCTCAGTGGTAAATGATTCCCTAGCATGTGTGGGCCTTTGGTTTCAATCCCCATTATCATACACCCAAAAATAGTTTTTTAAAAGTTCTTATAATTTATAAACTGGTCACTCAGTTAATTTTGGCAAATAGGCCTGCTATGGCTGACCCATTTTTTTATGGGCGAAGTATTTCCTAGGGAAGTAGAAAGATTGTTCCTTCAAATGGATAACTGCTCTGGCAAAGGCGTTCACAGCTGGGAGGCTGGGTTGGAGAAGCAGCTAGTTGCAACCTGACAAAAACAGAAATCCCAGCTAGACAGTCTTTTCCTTTTGAAGATATATCTCACCTTTTTTTTTTTTTTTTTTTTGAGACAGGGTCTTGCTATGTAGTTCAGGCTGGCCTTGAAATCACTATATAGCCCTGGCTGGCCCGGTACTCATGGCGATCCCTCCCCTACCTCAGCCTCCCAAGTGCTGGGATTACAGGTGTGCGCCACTACAGCCAGTTTACATCTTAATTTTGACTGGTTTTCTTGGTGGCTGGCCTTCCCAAATCTTCCACTTCCTTGATCCCTCAAGACTTTTACCTGTTCTCTTCTTCTGGAGCTGTTAACTCTCTCTCTCTTTTTGTTTTTTTTTTTGCTGTTAACCATCTCTGTTTGTTTGTTTGTTTTTCTTCCGGTACCAGGGATCGAACTCACAACCTTGCGCTTGCCAGGCAGGTGCTTTGCTGCTGAGCTAAATCCCCAACCCCTTTGCTGTTAACTATCTCAATGGTCATTTGTTTGTAGATGCTGAATATTTCACCAGGGCACCTTAACCAGAATTAGAAGAACAGATAGATTAAGAGATAAAGTCAGCTGTTAGTACTAAGTGAATCAACCTTGGGCAGGCCCATTGGCAACAAGGTGCAGATAAGGCCTAGACAAAGGAAATAAAGAAGAAAAAAAAAAAAATCCAGGAATCTAGGTGGGAGGTCACCAATTAATTAGTCCAAGACACTGAGAGGCTAGCACTCCAGGATTTGGAGCCGGGCATTGTGCCACATGCT